TATACAAGTTTTGGATTTGGTGACTTAGGCAATTTAAAAATGGGCTCGGTGCCGAAATTTCTTTGTTTGGAGTCCAAATGGCATTAGCCCAAAGACAGATACCCCACTGACAGGTGTGACCACCCCCAAGGTGATCAGTGCCCAATTTTAACTCTGAACATAAAAAGCAATAAATAATTTATCTTTTCATAAAATAGTAGTCATATCATACTGTAGATCAAACCACAGCAGCATAAACGAGAAAATCACAAAAAATATGGCAACATAGGAACAATAAGCGAAGATTGACATTCCAGCACTTCCAGGAGCAAAAAGCAATGAGTCCAACCATAAAGATCACAGAAGACCAGCCAGCAATCCATTTCATACTAGCATAGCGGAAGTACTCGTCCTGAAGAGTTCGATCGTTACTATTGTAAAAACCATGAAAGAGCAGAACGTTTCCTGCCTGACTCTCCGCCCTGAGATACTGTTTAAAAAGGCGGATCAGGAGACACGTGTTGCGGTGACATACAGCCACTAGCGGGACATTTCTTGGGTAGGTAAGCTGACGTACAGGGGTATAGTTCAGCAAGTCGCGGCCTCGGCAAGGGCTGTAAAAAGAGGCTTCGCTTGTGGGGGGTCACTAGTACCGTGCCTACTCATTCAATGTGGCCATGCGTCAACATTTAGCTAGAAAATACTTAGTTGTGCACGATGGCGCGCATTTGATATCTTGAACTTTACCAGGCTTTCTGCGTGGCCCTTTGCGTGAGATCAGTGGTCTTGGTGATTTTCCCCACTCCCTTTACACCGATCCCATGAGCAGCACCACCTTTTGAGCCACTGAAAACATAGTAATATGGTAACTCACAGTAAGTCCACGTCGTTTATGTCTTCGCATTCTGCATTCTCGAGCTTTCAGAGGCTTCTTCACTCGATACGGTACGGAACGTATCGCATCCTCAGCGCCATCCCATTTGTTTGGTCCCACAAGTCGATAAACATAGGGTACATTGGCTCCCATGAAGAGGCGTAAAGCAAATTTTGGATCGGAGAACATAAGCTGAAAGTCACAAGTAGTTGAGAACTCGAGTTTTGGGGTAGGTTTCACTTCAACATTTTTTTTTCAAGAGGCAGATCCCTTTGCAGGCGTAACTACCTAAGAGCACGTTTGATGCTGA